TAGAAAATAATTGTAAACATGATAATAAACATGTTACAAAAAGTATTTTTGGAATTACACATTCCAAATGAGAAATCTCTTCATTTTGTAAAAAGGTCCAAAAATGAAAGCTAAACAAAACATGTTTTTGACAAAATATTTTAAACAAACTTTTAAAACTTTGTAAAATAATTTTATAGAGTTGATAAAAGATATAAATTATAGTTATTAAGTCTATAAACCAAAAACACAATATTTTTTAAAATACAATAGAATATGAAACATATGAATATGTATATGAATGTATTCTTGTTTCATATCTATATAACTAAACTAAAATAACTTATCCACATGAAAACAAACATATATGTATATAAACATAAATTTATTTGTTTGAAAAAAAACTTTGTTTGTGGATAAAACCCAAAATGGATAAACTCATAAAATGTGTGTGTATAATATTGAGCTTGAAGTATTAAACACACATAATATAACACCTAAACTAATTTACCCAAACAATCTTGATTTTCAATTTGAGCTCGTCTTGGTAAACTTTGTGGATGAAACTTGATCTTGAATTGACTTGAATTGTATATGGCTTCATACCGTTATTTTGCCAACCTCCATTTGATATGATCGTTATAGCACAATCTATCCAATCTCCAACTTGATTGTTTGTCTAGAATAAATACAAAAACACAAACACTAGATATATAAAAACATAAACACTAGACAAACAATATTAGTTATAAATTATTTGTTAAAACATCATCAAAACAAAAAGACCAATATTTTGTTTAGCAATTGTTTAATGATAACCAAACAAGTGAGTAAAATAGAGATTTTGACCACATAGTAAATTATAAGAACTATAGATATTGTTAAAAAATTACGATTAGCGAGGTTAAAGATGCTCTAAAAAAATAAAAAGTTAAAGAGCCATATGGCCGGACGATATCCTTATTGAAGTTTAAAAATGTATTGGAGATATAAGCTTAAGATGGTTAAATAAACTATTTAATAAGATTATCGAGTCGAAAAGAATGCCAGATGAATGGATGATTAGTACTTTGATACCGATATATAAGAATAAAGGAGATATATAAAGTTGTTCAAATTATCGAGATATAAAACTCATGGGTCATACTATGAAATTTTAGGAGAGGGTAATTTGGCAAAGACTAAGAAAAGAGACAAGTAAATCAATTTGGTTTTATGCCTGAGAGGTCAACTATGGAACATATACATATTTTGAGACGGTTGATGGAGAGATGTAGATAGAAAGAGAAAGGATATATATATGGTTTTTATCGATCTTGAAAAAACTTATGATCGAGTGCCTAGAGAGGTAATATGGTGGGTGTTAGAAAAAAATATGTATCTAGTATATATATTGATTATGATTAAAGATATGTATGATAAAGTAACAACTAGAGTAAGAACTAGTGAAGGGGAGACTAAATCATTTTTTTATTACCGTAGGTTTACACAAAGGGTCAGCTTTAAGTTCTTATCTTTTTGTATTAGTTATGGACCAACTTACTAAGCACATTCAGGATGAAATCTCATGGTTTATGTTATTTATCGATGATATAGTATTAGTTGATGAAACTAGAAAATGCATTATTTCTAAAGTAGAAAGATAGAAATAAGCTCTTGAATTTAAATATTTTAGAATTAGTAGAACAAAAACAGAATATATGGAGTGTATTTTTAGTAACACTAGGAAAGAAAAAGAGCCTATGGTACATATTGATGGCCAAAAAATACCTAAAAATAATCATTTTCGCTATTTAGAATCAATCATTAGGCATGATGGTAAGATAGAGGATAGTATTATGCATCTAATCAAATCGGGATGGTTAAAATGGAGGAGTGCTTCAGGAGTCTTATGTGATCGTAGAATATCAATGAACTATAGGACGGTTATAAGACCAATTATGCTTTGAGTTAGAGTATTGGGCAATTAAAAAACAACATGTTTAAAAAAATAAGTGTAGCAGAAATGAGAATGTTGGGTTGGTCTTGAGGGTATACATTAAAAGATACGATAAGAAATGAGTGCATCCATAGTAAATTAGAGGTTACGCCTATTGAGGATAAAATAAGAGAGAATAGATTAAGATGATTTGGTCATGTACAACGGAGACCCCTTAGTACACCGATTATAAAAAATGATAATATTAGAATTCACGGGGGGTAGGAGATCTAAAGGTAGACCTAGAATGACTTGGTTAGAAGTAATTAAGAAGGATATAATTAAGAGTAACTTAACGAAGGAGATAACCCATAACAGAATGGAATGAAAAAATAAAATTCATGTAGTCGACCCCAAATATTTGGGATAAAGGCTTGGTGGTGGTGGTTTTGTTGTACTTAATAACGTTTAAAAGTGGTTTTAACTGTAGTCAAATAGACTTTTTACTAGAAGGGCGGATAAGTTAACATACAAATATTACAAAATTATATCGGGAGAGAGTTTAACTACACAACATAGGAGTAGAAAAACTAACATGAACAAGAGACTAGGAACTAAATGGTAGAATTTAAAAGGAGAGAATTTAATGTGTTTTAAGGATAAAGGATAAGATAATGAAGATATATATACAATATAAATAATGAGACTAATATTGTGCGTAGTAGCATGACTTTTTGTATTAGAAAGGTGGCTACAAATATACTAGGAGAATCTAAATGATGTAGATTAGATGGTAAGGAGAGTTGGTGGTGAAATGAAAGTGTGAAAATGTTATTAGAGCTAAGAAAACTTTATATGCAGTAGTAAAAGTACAGTAGTAGGAAAAACTTGGAGAAATATAAGCTAGTAAGGAAGGAAGCAAAAAGAACAGTTAGTGAGAATAAATACAAGGCTTATAAAAATTTCTATAATAAGTTAGAATTAAAGGGAGTATGGATTTGGGTAATATTAGGTGCATTAAAAGCAAGATCAAAGAGTTTTGATGACCGACGGAGAAATAAAAGAGAGGTGAATGAGTTACTTTCATCAATTGTTTAATGATAACCAAATAAGTAAGCACAATAGAGAATTTGACCATATAATGAATGATAGGAACTATAGATATTGTCAAAAAATTAGGATTAGCGAAGTTAAAGATGCTCTAAATAAAATAAAAAGTGGAAGAGCCGTAGGACCGGATTTTATCCCTATTGAAATTTTGAATATCTTGAAGATATAGGCTTATAATGGTTAACTAAATTATTTAATAAGATTATCAAGACAAAGAGAATGTCTGATGAGTGGAGGATTAGTACTTTGATACCGATATATAAGAATAAGGAGATATACAAAGTTGTTCAAATTATCGTGACATAAAACTCATGAGTCATACTATGAAATTTTGAGAGAGGATAATTGAACAAAGACTAAGAAAGAAAATAAGTATATTTAAAAATCAATTTGGTTTTATGCCCGAGAGGTTAACTATGGAACCTATACATACTCTGAGACAATTGATGGAGAGATATAGAGAGAAGAGAAAGGATCTACATATGGTTTTTTGATCTAGAAAAATCTTATGATAGAGTGTTTAGAGAGGTAATGTGGTGAGCTTTAGAAAAAAACATATGTTTAGTTTATATATTGATGTGATTAAAGATATGTAGGATAAAATAACAACTAGAGTGCGAACTAATGAATGAGAGACTAAGTCATTTCCTGGTATCATAGGCTTACACCAATGTTCAACTTTAAACACTTATCTTTTTATATTAGTTATGGACCAACTTACTAGGCAAATTTAGGATGAAATCCCATGGTATATGTTATTTACAGATGATATAGTGTTAGTTGGCGATACTAGAAGATGTATAATTTCTGAAGTAGAAAGATGAAAAGATGAAGACAAATTCTTGAATCTAAAGGTTTTAAAATTAGTAGAACAAAAATAGAATATATGGAGTGCAGTTTTAGTAAAACTAAGAAAAGAAAAGAGCATATAGTGCATATTAATGATCAAGAAATACGTAAAAGTAATCATTTTTGCTATTTAGGATCAATCACTAGATGTGATGGTGAGATAGAGGATGATGTTGTACATCGAATCAAATCGGGATGGTTGAAATGGAGAAGTACCTGGCGAGTCTTATGTGATCATAAAATATGAATAAAATTAAAGGAAAAATTCTATAGGATGGTTGTAAGACTAACTATGCTTTCATGGGTCTAAGTGTTGGGCAATTAAAAAACAACACGTGTAAAAAATGAGTGTAGCAGAAATGAGAATGTTGCGATGGTTTTGTGGGTATACATTAAAAGATAAGATAAAAAATAAGTGCATCCGTAGTAAATTAGGAGTTGTTCCCATTGATGACAAAATGAGAGAAATTAGATTAAGATGGTCTGGTCATGTACAATGGAGACCTCTTAATGCATCGGTTAGAAAAAGTAATAATATTGTAGTTAATGGGGTTAGGAGATCTAGAGGTAGATCCAAAATGACTTGGTTGAAAGCAGTTAGGACGGATATGATTATGACTAACTTAACAAAGGAGATGATCCGTAACAGAATGGAATGGAAGAATAGGATTCATGCAGCCTACTCCAAACATTTGAGATAAATGCTTTGTTGTTGTTGTTGTTGTTGCATTATGTAGTATTACAGTTCATAATTTTGGTATAAGAGAATCATGGCAAGCAACCACTTTATGTTATTTTTCATAGGCATATGAGTGTAAATTTAGAAATAGAAACTGTATGCACTCCTAAGTACATGTAAAATGATGCATCCTTTGATACATAACTCTGCTAGTGTAAAACTGATAGTGATGATCAGTCCATATTTATGGTAGGCAATGAAAAGAATCAGAAAGACCGTAAACCATGATATGCACAAAATTTTTTGAGGCGAGAAATCAATATGATTCATGCTTCTCAGTGTGCATAAAGGATTACTTCCCTATTGTGACTTTTACTTGTACTTTTGAGTGGTCTTCTTGATGCAGAATAAGGAAGGAATTTCTGTATATTGGTCTATTTGAACCAATACTTTAAATCCTTTCAGGCATCATGTCGCAGAAATTTCTCTCTGGATGTTGTTCTATTAGATGCTCTTGGTCGATCGGTGCACAAGGAGATGGAGGTCTCATCTATAAGCTTCTATTTCTTTTATTCCTTTGCCCTCCTGTGATTTGTTTAAAATTTTTAGTTGTGTTGATGGGTTCCTGGTTGTATTTGCAGATCTTTGCTTCACTTGTTTATGCTGACAATCGAGCTCCTGTTGAGAAAACTAGAGACGATAAAGAGGATCCATTGTTGACAAGTTGTGATGGACTCGAATTCCCTACAGTAGATAAGCCGGTCATCCTTCTCCGTGGCCGTGCAATTTTTAAGCTTAAAATATCTCAGGTAGTTTATGATAGAGGCTAAACATACTGCGTTGTTTTTGGAATATGTTCTTGCTTGAAAGAATAACATTATTATCACATAAAAGAAGTTTCCTTCGATCACTTTTAAGTGCAATGTAGATTCTATAATTTTCTTTTTGCTGTTACAGCTGCATCATGGATTGAGATCTTCCAAGTGACCAATTTTTCCCATCAGTGTAGACATGGGTTGAGAAAATTGACCTGATCCACAAATTGGAGTACTGATTGAACTAAACTCTATCTTGGGTCACCCAAACCCAAGTACAACCAAATACTTGTGTGTGTGTATAGGGAGAGAGAATAATGAGTGTCGTATGTCATATGAGGTGATTCTCTCATATACAAGATGTGACTCAAATCTCAACCAAGTGTGGCTATGAGGGATTCTCTCTCTCCTTTTACTTGATTGACATTGAGCTACATCATTGTACATGATAGAATCCCCTCATATGACAAGGATACCCATTATTTTGACACACACACAAATCCATGCATGCATGCGTGCACAGTCTTATGCAGATACATAGACGCAAACACAAAGGGAGGGAGGGCTTCACCACATTTAATAAAATGATCTGCCACCTCACAACCATCAAATGAGATTTTGTCCACCCAACTTCTTAACCAGTTGTCTATCAACTCTACCCCTCCCTCATTAAATGAGGGCTACCATCTCTCATTAGATGTTGACATATCTTGGTTCGCCCAAAATCTCATATCGAACTTGAGGCCACATTAGACTTTTTAACCGTTGGATGAATTTGATACACCAAGATGTATCAACTCTACCCCTCCCTCATTAGATGTTGATATATCTTGGCTCACCCAAAACCTCATATTCAACTTGAGGCCAGATTAGATTTATGCAAGGTATAGATATCAGTTTGAGTTGGAATTGCATGTCCAACCTGCCCGTGTTGGAACCTACATGTTATACTGTCCATATTTTAAGTTTTTGTGGTATGTAGTATTTTAGGACATTGCTACAGTTAGTGTCTGAATCATGAATGATCAACTTCTATTTGTTTCTCTGCTTTGTTTAGTTAACTTCTTTTTGCTGTCATCTTTACTCATTGGTAAGACTAGACTTTTATTGAGCTTCGTAGATGACATTTATATTTCTGCTTGTTCCAGCTCTCTTCTAAGTCTGACAATAGGCTTTTCCTTGTTCGTTTCAATGCAACTGGTAGTCAAAAATATCCATTTCTTGAAGCATATTCACGCCCAATTCGTTGCATATCAAGGAATCGGAGTTTCCGTCCTTCTGTAGTTGGGAGAAGGCCATTTTCTGGATCAACCCTTCCTGACGGAACTCATTCACCAGGAGGAAATGATAGGCCCCATGTAAGTCATAATAACAATGAAGGTGGTCCCTTCAGCATATCAAGCCAGAGTGAATCAAAGTGTAGTCCGATGCCAAAGCGTTTTAAAATAGGTCATGACAATTCGTCAGCATTTCTTGATGTTAGCGAGCACTCCAAACTGGTAAATGACATGGAACTATCACAAGGTTTAATATAATGTTTCATACATCAGCATGTTTAGATTTTGTCTATGCTGACTCATAAATATATAATGATACAGGACGATAGTGCATCAAATAGAAGTGTAGAAATAAAAGCAAATAGCCTTGAAGGAAGAGATACTGCTTTATCGGATTCAGATAGCACTTATGCAAGGAAGTCAGAAGCCAGACAGACAGTGCACACAGGAACTCCAATTTTAGATGCAATCATTTTCAGATATTGTTTAGAAGGCATACATGAGCGTACACTGCTGCTCAGAGAGATCACACATTCTGTCAGCAATGAAGATATAGTGAATTTTGCGGAGGAGGTTTGCCTGTACGCTGGATGTTCGCATCACCGGTAATAATCTTATATGAAAAATTTCTCTGAACTGAGCATTTCTTAAATCTTCAGATGTTTGATTAACTGGGTCATCATCCCTTTATTTAGGTACCAAATACTAATGTCGAAGCAGTTGATCCAAGAGTGCACCGATACTTGGAATTCAATTTCTGGCAACAGCCATTCTGTTCTTTGGACGAATGCAATTCCTGAGATAAATAAAAGGTTCATGAGGATTTCCCGTTCTGCTACTCGAAGTTTGTCAGGAAAGGTTGCAAGCAAATGTTTTCCCTTGTTCTCTGCAGTAGATGTTTCTAAGAGTATTTTCTAAGAGCACTGATTCATATTCCTTATCTAATGATTTAGGATTTGGAGGTATTGCGTGGAATTGCTGGATGTGGTGAGGACTTGAGCCGTGAAAACTTTGAGAAGATGTGGTACTGGTTATATCCAGTAGCCTTTTCTTTGTCAAAGAGTCAAATACACACCTTGTGGGAATGTACAATGCCTTTATGGATAAATGGATTGATTACCAAGGAAGAGGCTGAATATGCATTGAAAGGCCCTAGAGGGCTGCAAAAACCAGGAACATTTGTAATCAGGTTTCCCACATCTCGGAGCTGGCCTCATCCAGATGCTGGTAGCCTTGTCATTACCTATGTTGGGGCTGATTCTACCCTTCATCATAAGCTCCTTTCTCTTGATCTTAGGTATGTTATGTTTTGTATCTAAGCTAATCTTTCAATATGTTTACGCTGTTATCTTTAGTTTTTCTAAGAGAACTATCTAATTATCCTTGCTTATCTGCGGAGAAACTACATGAGGGACAGCAATCATGAGAAAGGAAAGTTTTTTACTTTCTATTCTTGATTTTGGTGACTTGAAGAGTTAGAATGACGGAAGCTATATGATTTTTTCACTAGATCATCTTAAGGGTAAATAACACTAAACTGCCCAGAACTTTCTGGATTGTAAACCCCCAATAACTTTCAAAATCGCACTAAGCCCCCAATAACTTTTGCACAAAGCCCCCAATAACTTTTGCAGAGTACCCCCAATATCTTTTAGAGAAGTTACAATAAACCCCCAGTAACTTTGAAAATGCCTTTTTATGTTGTTTTGTGGTTGTAATTTATGGTGGTTATTTGCAAAACATAGAAACTTATTGGGGTTTTCTGCAGAATGCAAAAGTTATTTAGTGAGATTTTGAAAGTTATTGGGGGTTTACTGAAATATGCTGAAAGTTCTAGAGGGTCTAGTGCAATTTACCCTAATTTTAAATTCCTTCCCACTTTTAAACTGTTAAATTAAATTGCTTGTTTTTCCCCTTACAAACTGAAGAAAAGCGAAAATTTGTTTCTTATTTGAAGAGGAAATGCTGCTTATCAAAACACTTTTAACAGAGGCTGAAGAGACCCTTAATTCTGTCTCTGTTATACATGTTTACTTCGATCACTTTTGAGATTAATTCAAACCCGGTATCTTTCTGTTCATTACCAAGCTTAATTTCATGGCATTAAGCAGTCTAATTTTTTCTTCACTTCTTATCCCATCATTTCCAGTAATGAAGACAACAGGCAAGGAAATCCAAAGCAACTGCAAGCGCTGCTTTTGGAAGAGCCTGAACTCTCACAACTGGCAAGGTAAATCTCTTCATCCATTTCAATAATATAATTTGCATATAAATTATATGTTCTCTTCATCCATTTTGTTAGAAGAAGAGAGTATTAGTTTAGTCCCACATTGCTTGTGAGACTAACTTGTAACTAATCCATCTCTATAAATAAAGTATAGAGTGAGGGGATAACTCTCCATTAACTTTCTCTCCAAACTTTAACATAGTATCAGAGCCTCCTAAATCGTAACCCTAATTCTCACCGCCACTTGTTCTAACCCTAACCCTAATTCCTAAACCCTAACCGTCACCTCTCCTCTCTCTCGAAACCCTAGCCGCCTCCTCTCCTCTCTCTCGAAACCCTAGCCACCAAAGATCAAATCCGTCGCTGCATGCTTCGTCCGCCACCGTCGCCACTTGCTTTGTTCGTTGCCATTTGTTTCCTTGACAACTTGGATATCTTACCTTGCTCGGTGTTTCCTCCAGTTCAAACTTAGATTTGATCTTGAGAAGAGTGTTTATCTTACATTGCTAAGATATGCACTTCAGTTCTTGTTTCCATAATCAAAACATCAACGTCAAACCTCCTTTATGTCCAACTCGGATTGTTGAATCGGTGGTCCACGGAGGAAACTCCAGATCTAGATCCACTTCACCGATCAGATAATCCTCGACAACTCCCACCTTTCGTCGATGATTGCTGCTGCCATGTCCCTTTGTTTTCAGATCTGACTTAGATCTGTGAATTGTTCTAAAAAAAAATTCGGGTTCTTGAATTTTAACCTTCGGGTTTCATGTTAACATTCGGACTCTTGTATTTTAACATTCAGGTTCTTGTATGATAACCTTCGGGTTCTTGCATTGTTAACATTCTGGCTCTTGGACTTGTTCAACTTGTGGAGGGTATCGTCTCGATCTCTACTCGTCTGTTTCATGATGGCCAGACCTGAGGAACTCAAAAATTTTGAGTTAACGGTCCAGACGAAAGTTTCAGAGATATTTTCTGGTAGAATCACTGACCGAAAACTTGATGGAATTAACTATTTCTAGTGGAATCGTGTTATTGAAATCTACGTGGCAGGCCGAGGAAAAACTGATCATTTGTTGACGGACCCTCCTACTCCGACACCGGAGTCTTGGACATTAGATGATAATATCCTCTTACATCAGATTCTTAATATTATGGAGCCTAAAATTTAGGATTTATTCCTTCATTGTATGATAGTGAAGGAACGTTGGTGTTTCTTATAAGATCTCTATGGGTGTAGCAGTAATATTAATCGAGCATATGAAGTTATTCAAGCGTCGTTCCGTAAGAAACAGGATGGTAAACCCATGGATGATCATTATGGTGAGTTCAATTGTTTGACTGAGGAACTTCATCAGATTTTTTCTATTACTGGGGATGTAAAATAGATGCAAAACTAATGGAACAAACTTATGGTACTCACCTACTTAGGTATCCTAAATTTCATTTACTCCTCTGCTCGACCACAAATCATGGGGAGTTCCGCCATTGGTTCTCTAGCTGAAACTTATCACTTTTTGAAGAACGTTATCCCTGCACAGTCACTTACATCCACCGCGGATCGTTCTGCGCTTGCCACTCAAAGTTGACAGTCTTATGGACGAGGGGGTCATACCGATGGTTCTGGAAGAGGTAAGGAACTTTGATGGAAGAGGAGGTTACCACACTGGTCGTTCTGGGGGCCGAGGTGGTCAACGAGGTGACCGTGGAGGTCCATCTCAAGACAAACATACTAATAGCGATGACTCAGTGAAGACTTGTAACTACTGTCACTAATCAGGACATTTTAAATATAATTGTCCTGAATTAGGAAAGAAGAAGGCCAATGGTGCTTACATGACCTCTCAGGACAACTTCACCTCATCTGATAGTGAAAGTCAACTACATTCAGTCTTTTAGGATGTGGAGTTGCACGTCAATTTCAACAATTTTAATTATTCCAGCAGTACCAAAGTTCACAACCATCATCCTCCTCTTTATCCACTACTCTTAAAAGTGCAGGTACCTCTTTATCTTTGCTTACATCGTCTTCGTCTTATACTTGGATTATAGATACAGATGTCACTGATCATATGACTAGAAATCAAGGTATCATGTCCTCTTTCTCTCCTACATCTAATTCAGTTATATTAGCTGATGGTTCACGTACACCTCTTCAGGGTGTCGGCAACACCAATCCTACACGTAGTCTCCGCCTTTCCTCTGTATTCTATCTTCTTAGTTTTTCCTATAATCTTTTATCTGTTAGTAAGATTACTAAATTATTAAACTGTACTGTGACATTCTTTCCCACACATTGTGTTTTTTAGGATCTGGTCACACGAAAAACGATTGGGACATGACATGAGCAGAACGATCATTATAAACTAAACTTGGGCGCCAAACATTTAGCTTGTATTGGAAACTCATCAGCTCTACAATACCATTGTCAGCTAGGGCATCCTTCTCTGTCTGTTCTTAAGCTTCTAAATCCCCAGTTCAAATCTCTTTCCTCTTTAGAGTGTGAGTCGTGTCAACTTAGCAAACTCCATCGTGTATCTTATCCTAATTGAGTCAATAAGAGGGTTGCAACGTCATATGATCTTGTTCATTCTGATGTTTGGGGGTCATGCCCAATAACTTCTAAATTGGGATTCCTGTACTTTGTCGGTTTTGTGGATGATCATTCTCGTGTTACTTGGATTTATCTTCTCAAGTCTAGGTCTGAAGTCTTTTCTACATTTAAACTCTTTTATTCTGAAATAGTCAATCAATTCAAGACTTCGATAAAAAAAATTTCGATCTGATAATGCAAAGGAATATTTGGATGGTAACTTCACTAGTTTCCTTGAACAACATGGAATTCTCCATCAGTCTTCTTGTGTTTACACTCAACAAAATAGAGTTGCTGAATAAAAGAATAGACATCTCCTTAATATTGCTCGAACCTTGCTATTTCATCGTCACGTTCTCAAAGAGTTTTGGGGGGAAGCTATCCTAACAGCATGTTACTTGATTAATCGAATGCCCTCTTATGTTCTGCAAGATAAAATTCCTTTTAAAGTTTATACCCCAACGATGATCTCTTTTCGCTTCCTCCAACATTTTTGGCTCTTTGTGCTTTGTTCATAATCACAGGCCAAACAAACAAAAGTTTGACTCTCGGTCTATTAAAAGCATTTTTCTTGGCTACTCTCGAAAACATAAATGTTACAAGTGTTCCTGTCCATCACTCAATCGTCTTGTGTTATCTGCTGATGTAACATTCTTTGAAGACAAACTTAGTTATTCTAGTTCTCCAACTCCATTATCATCGGATGAGTATGACTATTTAATCCCATAAGAGTCATTGGTTAACGATGGTGGTTCATCCACTGACAATACTATTTGCGCTACTGGTAAAGATTCCGCTCGGTTTAACGACCCAATTCAAGTTTATCATCGGTCTTAACACCACGTCCTCCGCCAGAAGAACCAGAATCAGTAAGTACAAATTCACCCCCTTCTGCGGAAGACCTTCATATTATACTTCGAAAAGGTACACAAACTTGTACTCAACATCCTATTTCTAACTTTGTCTCTTATGATCGCCTCTCCTCCACCTTTCGATCTTTTGTTACTTCCCTCGACTCATATTTGATTTTCAAGAATGTGTCAGAAGCTTTGTCTATTCCAGGTTAGAACCAAGCGATGCAAGACGAAATGAGGGCCTTGCGACAAAATGAGACTTGGGATTTGGTCCCACTTTCACCAGGAAAGCGGTCCGTCGGCTGCAAGTGAGTGTACACTGTCAAATTGAATCCTGATGGAACTTTGGCACACGCTTGAAAGCCTGACTGGTTGCTAAAGGCTATACGTAGGTGTATGGCTTAGATTACTTAGATATATTCTCTCCAGTGGAAAAAATGACATCTGTTCGGATTTTTATCTCATTAGCAGTGACAAATCACTGACCACTTCATCAGTTGGATATCAAGAATGCATTTCTTAATGGTATTCTAAATGAGGAGGTTTACATGGAGCAACCACCAGGTTTTGTTGCTCAGGGGGATAATGCGAAGAAGTGTAGGCTGAAGAGATCACTTTATGGTCTGAAGCAATCTCCGAGAGCCTGGTTTGGACGTTTTGCATCGGTTATTCAGGAATTTGGGCTCTGTCGTGCACAAAAAGATCACTCTGTCTTCTGACGATTTCAGAATGGGAAACGAATTCTGCTTGTTGTCTATGTGGATGACATTATAATTACAGTGGATGATGCTTCTGGTATTGACAGTCTGAAGAAGCATTTACAGCCACATTTTCAAACCAAAGATCTTGGTTCCCTAAAATACTTCCTAAGCATTGAAGTTGTAAAGTCAACGAAGGGTATTCTTCTGTTATAAAGAAAGTACGTCCTGGATATGCTTTCAGAAACTGGGATGTTAGGATGCAAAAGTAGTGATTCTCCAATGGATGTGAACTCAAAACTACTACCAGTTCAGTGGGAGCTTCTTGAAGATATTGGATAGTATAGAAGATTGGTGGGGAAGCTAAATTATCTGATGATGATCAGACCTGACATCCCATTCGCAGTCAGTGTTGTGAGTCAGTTCTTGTCCTCACCAAGTACTACTCACTTGGATGCAGTAATGAGAATTTTGAGGTACTTGAAGAAGGATCCAGGACAAGGAATTCTCTACTCATATCAATGACACACTAGAGTTGCAGGCTTCTCTGATGCAGATTGGGCTGGATGTCCTTTTGATAGGAGATCAACTACTGATACTGTGTCTTTCTCGGAGAAAATCTAGTGTCATGGAAAAGTAAGAAGTGTTGTATCTCGATCCAATGCAGAATCACAATACAGAGCTATGATAAATGTGATACTAGAGATGGTTTGGATCAGAGACCTATTGACAGAAATTGGTCTCCCTCCAGAATGCCCCATGGATCTATATGTCGACAATAAAGCAGCAATTCACATTACTGAGAATCACGTGTTTCATGAAAGAACCAAGCACATTGAAGTCGACTATCATATAGTCCGCAAGAAGCTCGAGGATAAAATCATCATGGCAAAACATGTATCGACAGTAGATCAGTTGACATATATTCTTACAAAACCACTTGGTCGAACAGGGGTTGACTTTATTTGTGACAGGCTGGACATGCATGATGTATATACTCCAGCTTAAGGGGGAGTGTTAGAAGAAGACAGTATTAGTTTAGTTCCACATTGCTTGTAAGACTAACCTGTAACTAATCCATCTCTATAAATAAAGTATAGAGTGAGGGGATAACTCTCCAGTAATCTCCTCTCTCTCCAAACTTTAACACATTTCAAGAATATAATTTGCATATAAATTATATGTTCTCTTCGCGATAATTTTACATATAAATTATATGTTCTCTTTGAGATAATTACTTTTTGAATTTCTTATATTCTCTAAGGGTTGTCAGCCAACTTCTGGATAGAACAAGACAATGAGACATCATTCCTCTAGACTCTAGCCATTTATATTCAAGATAGCTACCATCAATATGTTATCCTAGAATTATACCAAACTCTCCCCTTTTTTGAGTTCATTAGTTTTATTCATAGTCTCTTGATTGTTTAGTCTTTATAAACTTATTAATGTAACTATATAATGTTATCAACCTATGTTATGTTGTCAAAATCTCTCTTGATATAATTTTACAGTTTTGCAATATATATGCTTATATTCAACTTACTTTTAAAAGGTTACAAGCACACATCTTTCTTTTTAAAATATGTATTTTCTATGGAAACAACATTGCATTCATGGCCGATGCTGGAAATATGATCAAATTTTTGTGTAAATCACCTCATTTGCAAGCCACTATGGCCATCACAAACACAACCCATAACCAATAACTTTCTAGTTATGATCAAACTGTTGTGTAAATCATCTCATTTGCAAACCACTATGACCATTACAAACACAACCGATAGCAAATAACTTTCACGGCTGGATATGCATTTCGCTTTGAGACTAATTCTGGGGCAAGCAAAACTTACTTGAGATTTTTGTCTTTTAACCATAGTTTTACCCGCATTTATTTAAAAAACCCACCCATTTCCATAAACACTCATATCTCCAAAGTATCTCATATGACTTATTTTCAAACCAAATTTGTGACTTATTTTTAAACCCAACTTGTAGTACACTCAAAACTTTATATTGGATCTCCCAAGACATATTCAAAATTTCCCTTTCCTCTCTTCTTCTAAAAAACAATCACGTTGTACTCCCATTGCATTAATGGTGATGAAGGGTGAAATTTATGTTTGCATGTTGCTCCCCTCACTCCCCAAAACCCAATTTAGTATGTTTATCTTCTTCAAAATCTTTCTTTCCTCCATTAATTTCATCTCTCTTCCTAAAAAGTCTCTCTTCCTTTAGTATTTCTCCTCATAAAAGAATAATTTGATTTTAATATGATTTCAATTTGCAATCATTAAATATTTCTTTTCTGTGGCCCCAAAATCAATAAAAAGCTATACTAGAGCGATGAAAAGATACACTTTAGTCGTAAAGAGTTATATTTCTGTATATGGTACTATATTTTGCTCATAAGAAGCTATGTTTTTTAATACAATGTCATACTTTGCTCAGTCAAAAATTAGTAGCTATTACAATACAGTTGAATCATAAGAAGTTATGTTTTTTAATACAATGTGCATAGTAAAAATTAGTAGCTATTGAGATTTCATATTTTTATGTTAATTAGACCAATGGATACTAAAATTTCCCCTATTTTCTCCAACAAAATTTTTGACAACATAGTACAAACTATTAATTTTTTTCATGTAGTCTCATAACCAATAAAGAGATATATTATAATAATAATAATGATAATAATAATAATAATAAGTTATACTTTAGTCATAAAGAATTATATTTCTTTGTAAGGTGTTATACTTTGCTCATAACATACTATGTTGTCGTATGAAGTGCTATACTTTACTCAACTTTAGCGAATTTTAGGGATTGGCTACACCTAGAATTTGGGGATCAGTTCTTAGTGTTTAACGTTTTACGAAACGAGGGAAGAGAAGGGGGGAGGGGGGAGAGAGAAGCGCTAGGTTTATTTGGGGAAGAAGGGAAATTTTGATATTTGAGGATTTTTTTGGAGAATACAGTATAAAGTTTGAGGGTATACTAAAAATTGGGTTTATAAGTAAGTCACATGGTGTAGTTTGGATGTGTGGGTGTTTATGAAAGCGAGTGGGTTTATTAATAAATGGGGGTAAAACTTTGGGTTAAAAGACAAAAACCCAACTTATTTTCCATGTCTCCCATTTATCACACTTACCCTCACAACTCAAAAACTCTATGAGACCAATGAGGTTGGTGGAATAACAAGATCTGAGTTGGGATGAATGCTTCTAGAGGAAAGACAAAACTTGACAATTGACATGTTGGGCTCAAAAATTCTTAGAAGACGATTTTGGTTTACTTGAATTGGCTTTGAGATCTAGGAGAAGCTTGAGAAGATTTGTTTTTTAGTTTGAAACTTTTCTGCGGGTTTTCGGGATCAAAGGGAGAGTAAAAAGAGGTGGCAAAGGGCTTCTCTTGCCTATAGTAATATAGTATAAACCTGATTTGCTCCAGCTTTAATTATTATGTTCTCCCATGGATGATTGCAAGCCTGAGGAATCCAATGTGGAAAAGATAGAGAACACCGTAAAATATGGGCAGCATTATTAGCAATAATCTATAATCCTCACATGAATAAGTATTAACACTTTTTATAACCTTTTGCTGCAAATAATGATACTGGAAGAATAATGCAACTGAATATTGAATTTTGTCAGCTGCTCGAAAAATAGTGTTAAATCTGACCGACTGATTGTGCAGGGTTAATTGACCAGCCGTGCTGCTTCCAGGAGCCAACAGCTAAATGTAGAAATAGCTTGTGACTTGGTGGTGAGAGTTGCTGCTTGGAAAGTCTTACCACTATGTATGTAAGATCTCATAGTATGTCTTTTAAGTTTTTTAAGTGAGAGCATCATTCTCCCTTCAGTTTTCCACAAACACAAAATTAATCAATATGCAAGCTTTATCGTTTTTATATCCTCTCTGCGGCAATGCTCAACTGATCAAAGTCCGCTCATTCTCGTAATATTTGTTTTGACATTGATTGATTTTTTTTTTTTGGCCCATAACAATGATATGGAACATTGTAAACCTTAAATGACTACTTAGAGCATGGTTGAGAACCTTGGATTATAATCCGTTTGGATTACAATCCAGTTAATAATATAGTGTTTGGTAAATTTAGTAGATTCAATACTAGAGTGCTGGGCAAAGAGGTGTATTATAGTCCTTCATTGTTATCAAAATGATCAAAACAAACATGACTCTAAATTTAACCTTTATGGGTGGGACTTAAATTTCGTGAAATGATGAGGGGTGTGAGGGTCAAACCTTATGGCTTATAATCCATCAAAGAATATGTTTTGGTATCCCAACTTATTTTCTCTTTGAAGCTAAAATAAGCCACTTGCCAAAACATCTCAAAGTGGCTTGTAGATCTTTTTTTTTTTTGGGTTTATAAGTCACTTTGACCCCTGCCAAGCATGCTTTTAGTCAGCTAACTATGTTTCAAGATTTAATAGAAGATACCATGTTTGATAGGTTTTTTTCTATATTAGTCCACCAAATCTTATATATTTTGAAATTAACCCCAATCATCATATTTTGAAATTAGTATTCCAAAATTTTAAGTATTTTGAAACTAGTCTCCTCATATCTTCGTAATTTAAAATTATTCCCCCCGTATCTTCAAAATTTGAAATTAGTCCCCCAAATCTTTCAACTTGCTGCTAACTAGAGTGACTAATTTTAAAACGCAATATAGATTTGCGGGCCAAGTTTAAAACATGAAGATTGGGAGGACTGATTTTAGAACACTTAAAGATTATGAAATAATTATTATTGTAGGATTGGAACCTGTCTTTAACTATCCGGTAATAAGGGCAACTACGTTCATATATATATATATATATATTATATGGAGGGTACAATTTTAAAATACCTATGAAAGTGTCTTGCTTTTAAGGCATTCCTTAGTGTCTTGATGCAGAGGTAATAATTGATATTTTTTGCGCAAAATTTGATCATGCCAAGTCGGCACGATTGAAGCAAAATGGGTAATTTTGGATATATATTTCAAGATGTAACTTTGGAGGACGATATCTTTTGACTCGCTTCGTCGAATCCTTATTATAATATGTTTTCGGAAAGCTCGGGAAGTTCTCTACACATAAAATTGATTATGAGTTTCAGAAAAGCTTCAAGGTTAAAGATATTCGTCTTCAGGTTAGCTGCGCGTGAACATTTTGGTTGAAGTCTCTTTATTTTACTAGTCTTTTTATTTTAGGAAGTCTTTTTGTTTTACACCCTATATAAAGGGGGTGAATTCTATGTTATTTTTGATTGGTTATTATTATTTTAGAAGTTTCCTATTCTTAGGGTTTTCTAGGGTTTGTGACGTTTTGCTCATACGATAACAAGTAGTTATCTCTTTTGGTTACGCTTCCGTTACATCACGTTTTGATGGTGAAAGTATAGGTTGGATTGTTTGATGGTGAAAGTATAGGTTGGATTAAAATGCAATCGTAGGATAACAATCCGCATTAAGACGAATTGTTCTGATCCATAACGATGGAATTTTGAATTGTTTCTCTACTTTTCTCTATTATATAGACTTCTGAAAGAATTTGCATCTTTTTGTATTATAGATAATTTCAAATGCATGTTTGAAATTCATTTTAGGACTTTTTTTTATATTCATCACTCAAATGATATGTTTGTCAAATAGCTCTTCTAAACTATCATACGGTAAACGTTTCAATTTATGTAAGATATGCTAAATATGTTCCTCTAGTGAGCATATATTGTTTTAATTTAAATTTTTCTTCCGATTGTTTGTTATTCGTGTTATGTTCTTAACTTCTTCATTTATATGTGCTGTGATTATTGATAATTGTTTTTGATATTGAGTGTGAGGAGAGAAGTTGAGGTCACCACTCACCAGGGATAACCAAACCTAAACCAAAAAGGGATTAGGATCTTCTACTAAGGCATAGTGTCTCTTAATATCTTCTAATGCATCTCAACCTTTCATTGGATAGTACCTCCTCGTATTTTGTGCTTATGCACTAAATGAAAGGTGAAAATGCATTAGGAGAAAGTAAAAGGCATAGTGTCTCTTTATGCTTAGTTAGCAGGTAATAATTGCTAAAAAAAGACTGCAGCACAAGCTGTCACACTTCTTAATGTTGAACCACATGAGGGGAAAGTAAAAGGGCTGCAGCACATGAAAATATTGCTTTCGGGACATTTACACAATTTTCCATAAGTTATAATGAACTATAAAATTGAAGAAAAGAATTCCTCCAAATTAAAAGGACTCAGATAAAGCAATATCCACTTCCATTCTCTTTCCATCCAACCAAACACACGAATTAGAAAAGCATTAACTATCAGGCGGCCAAGACAAGAATTGCACGCAATTATAAACACCGACTTGACCAACGAGAGTGAGAGAGGAGCAACTTGCAAAGGAGAATTCAGGGGGGAGGAAAAGATAGACAAGCAAAAAGCTCTCTCTCTCTCTCTCTCTCTCATGGGTGATTGGGGCTCTGCAGGATCCTCCTTTACAAGGTCAGAGGTCAGTTCCTTCCACCCCTGCTATAGCTATTTCGGATTTTATTTAATAAACGAACCTCTGTTAATAAACAATAATAGGAGATTGATCATTCATAGAAGAAAATGATCAAAACCCAACTGCGAGCTCTCAATATTTTGTAGCATGTCGTATCGAACCCATAGGCCCACTCTAAATTTCTAACCCGGAGGAATATTTTGCACCGGAAATTTGTGTATTTCATGCTTTTTATCGTAGAAAGTAGACAAGCCTCATGTAACATCAGAGGCATCAATTTGGCGGAATCTTCAACTGATATAGAGATGAGCCGTGTTGTCAAAAACCGTTCGTCGAAAAGGAATTAAAGGAGTCCTATATTCCTTGGTGAGTTGATTTCAGGTGTTCCCACTTCAGAGCTGAGGAATCTAATTCCCCTCGCGAAAGGTGGATGTACATTTCCTCTTCTCTAGCTCGCTCACGTTCTGTGGTTGAAATGGGAGCATGTTTTGGAGAATGCGACGTGGGGTTATTGCGTTAGTGAAGAAAACAAAGAACTCTAGCTACAATTAGCAATGTATTGTTTATAAGGCAAGATCCGTTGCTAATTACCGGGTTAATTATGTTGCGCGCCGTGCGGAAGCGTGCGCGACAACCAAACGAGTCGGTGAGCGATGAGAGAAGAGAACCAAACCAAATTACGAGTGCAATTCAACAAAATACGACACAAATCAAACCAAACACAGAAATTTACATGGTTCGGCAATTGCCTACGTCCACGGGGAGAGGATGAGGAGATTTTCACTATATGAAGGAGAAATACAACGGGTTACAACTCACAAAATTACTCAAATATAATCCTAACCAAAGCTATCAACTCCTCACAATATCCCCCTCTCAAAGTGCTCAAAACAATGCTAATTCTCTCCTTAAGAAACCCTAAAAAACGTATTTCTATTTATAACAAAACACAATCCCAAACATGGTGAGAATCTGAAAACGAGTCTGCCACACGCGGGTGTGGCACGCACCACACCCCTGAAAACAGGACAGATTCTATCATACCCCTGACAACAGGGGCGGATTCTGCCACACTTGGGTGTGGCAGACACCACACCCTGCCGAATCTTTATGTTTGCCAACGCTTTGAACAATTTGACGTCGTTTTCTACAAATTACGTAAACAACCCCCCTCCCACCCAACCCCCACAATATAGAGGTGTAGCCACTTATTAGTTCAAGATTCTTTTATTACCCACTTTGACTTTTCCGATTATAAACGAGGTCATCTCGGCGTTAACTATAGTGGGTGACTTCTTTCTTCTATTTTTGTTTTGGCATATTTTTGTATTTTTTTGGGATGTTTCCGTTGCTTCCAAAAATCATCATCACATTCCATTGTCTGTATCAGCTAGTTGCTCTGCGCACCGTAACCTCACCTCGAATCTAACAACTTGTTCTTTCACAGCTCCAAAATCCCCAAAAGGAACAACGACGACTCCAACAATCCCTTCTCATCAAAACTCATCAGCAAATGACCACAAATCTCAGCTGGTGGGTCGCCGTATCTGTCAACATCCTCCTCCTCCTCGTTGGCCAGGTCGCCGCCACTCTCCTCAACCGATACTACTATGATCAAGGCGGCAACAGCAAGTGGCTCGAAACGCTCACTTTCTCCGTTGCGTTTCCAATCCTGTACATACCTCTACTGTTCTTCAACACATCAGTGAAGAACGCTTCGATGCAGCAGGATTGTTACCGACCTCCATTTCTCAGTCTTGTGCTTGTCTACGTTGGTATCGGTCTTATTACTGCGGCTGATAGCCTAATGTACTCTTATGGCCTCCTCTACCTCTCTGTTTCTACTTACTCTCTTTTATGTGCTACTCAACTTGCGTTCAATGCTGTCTTCTCTTACTTCATAAATTCTGAGAAATTCACTCACCTCACACTTAACTCTGTCGTCCTGCTCACCTTCTCTGCTGCCGTTATTGGGATTCGCCATGAATCTGACTCGTCGACCGTTGATCCTAGAAAGGGTAAGTATCATAGATGTTTTATATGAAGAAATCAGTTGTTTTTAACTAGTGTTATTATAGAGTAGAATACTTTAGAGATTCTTGTAATCCTTTTCGCTCCTCCTTTATAAGTATTTTCCCTCTTAGTAGAATTAATTAGGTGACTTTGCACTAATTCCTGAAATGTAAGATTCAAAGGGGAGGGGAATAAAGGAGTCAAACAAACTAGGACCTGTCGCTTAGTGCAGAGGAAGAGATAACCATGAATTTTGAAGTTTGAAATTTCTTAAATATGTTTTCCCCTTTATTTTAAACTTCACCAAAACTAATGTCTAAAGTATTTCCCTTAAAAAAATGTCAGGAACTACAATTTCGTCCGTACCATAGATTTAAATTGTACATATTTTTGTGCTCGAGAGACCGAATTTTAATCCCACATAATCCTTCAAATGAAGTCATATTCTTTGCAAGAATCTTGATAATAGAGGGGCTTTCCATTAATCCTATGTGTGTTATACTCCTGTATTTAAGCTCATAAGGTCATGATTCTGGAGTAATCCTCCAAATTCACTTCAATTTTATAAGCTTAACAAAAAAATAGGAAGGGAGGGGAGGGGGGGTGGGGTGTGGATGGGGATAGGACAAAACCTTTTATCTTCAAACATGTATTCTTTGTATTGGATTAATCTGAATTTGTTGCGCTGTAGGGTAGCACTTATCTATGCTACTATATAAAAAGCCAAATAAGGGTAGTGCAAAGGTGGATGAGTGGTGGACAAGTTCTTCTTTTCGGTAGTAACTAAAATGGCAAAAATGTCATTTTACAATAAGTGGTATTTTCTCTTTTCTTTTGTTTTTGCTTCTAGAATATTCTAGATGATTCAATGTCATAAGAAAAAGGAGCCCACACATTTGAATTGAATGTTTTCTTCACATGATTTATTTATACTAACGCATAAACAAAACCAATGTAGGATTCTAGGTTTAAAGAGTTAAATGCACACTCTTACTCTTTAAATTAAGGAGTTACCTTTGTGTTACCGGTATATGTCACATGTATACATGTCACATGTGTATACGTGATGTCACTTTGCTGCAGAGCAATCACGTATCGCGTCCATTTAAGCATAAGGTCTGAGTTCCACCCCAAAAAAAAAAATTTATAGGTACTATGGCTACCCCCTACAGTGGAGGATTTTATCTGCAATTAACCCTTTCACATTTGCAACTAATTTAATTTTGTATCCTTTCAGCCCCTCTTGGTTTCTTCCTCACACTGGCGGCCTCCGCCACATACTCCCTCATCCTTTCACTGATGGAGCTATCTTTCGACAAAGTCATCAAGAGCCGAAACTTTTCTTCGGTCCTCAACATGCAAATATATACAGCCCTAGTATCCACAATCGCCGCATTTGCAGGTCTATTCGCTAGCGGAGAGTGGAGGTCTCTAAAGGGAGAGATGGAGAGTTTCGAGAAAGGAAAATTAGGATATCTGATGACTGTTATATGGAGCTCGGTAGCTTGGCAAGTTACAAATGTTGGACTTGTAGGGTTGATATTTGAGGTGAGCTCATTGTTCTCTAATGTCATTAGTACTCTGGGGATACCGATAGTGCCCGTGTTTGCAGTGATTTTGTTTGGGGATAAGATGGATGGAATGAAGGTGATCTCGTTATTGTTGGCTTTGTGGGGATTTTTTTCCTACTTCTACCAGCATTATATTGATTACAAGAGTCAGAAGAAGGGTAGGGATGTTGAAGGCAAAGATGAGACTAGCGGTGCGTAATGAGATGTGAAATGTCTTAGAAATTTTAGCATAATTAAAGAAGATGGAGATACTAACTCTGGTATGCTCTGTGTACATATATGTAAGAGAGATGATAAAGTTACTTATATGGGTAATATTGTTCCCTAAATCTTTTGTGGAAGTTTTGAAATTATAAGCTATATTAAACGAATAACGCATGAAAAAGTGCTCTTGTTCTTTATTCAAATCTAACGCAACAAAAATGTTGGTGAAAGAAGAGAAGAATTTAGGAGAAGGATCCTCCAAATTTGATAAAAACAATTATGATCGCATTTATTAGATGAGTATGCAGCTTCACTTCAGTATTAGTCGCACCAAGAACAAGTTACCTTATTTTCTCATGATTAATAGAAAAAAGAATTTGTTTTCTGTGGTTTAAGTTTATATATACAATACTTCAATAGTAATTGCATTACAGAATGATTATCTTGAGCTACAATCTTCACTTTCCTCTTTAAGCATCTACATTTACAAATGCACATCCATGTCACACATGCACAATCACATGTTCTGCCTCAAAAAGGAAATCTGCTGAATCTCGCAAAAATGCCTAATCAACAGTTAAACAGTAGGCGCACTATAACAGCAAAGTTAACATGATCAGTACTCTCCTTAAAAAAAAAACGGAACTCCCTCCCTCAAAATAAAGGAGTCTGAGACAGTGCTAACAAGTGGAAGATCTCCTAGATGTAACCGCATCAAAGTCATGTTTTAATAGATTTTGTGGTTATATTTTTCTTCAAGTAAATTAACAGGCTCTCACGAGTCATGACAGCTTCATTAACAAGGCTGAAGCGTGTCACCAGAAGTGCATTTTATCTAGACATTTTTCATTCACTTGATAACTTCTCGACGCTATTTTGGTGATACTATCCTGTGTTTTATCATTCAACATGTGTTGCTGATGACTTTTTTATGTTTAATGTATCACGTCATTGGGTTTGGATTAGTTTTTCTTAATGAAAAATGTAGTTTGGGAAAACCCTAGTGAGATTATTAGCTCTCTCTAGGATGATATTTATAGTGTTTAGGGAAACAAAGAAGTTTGTCTCTACCCGATGTGGGGCTAAACAAAAGTAAACACTATTCTCAACACTCCCCCTCAAGCTGAACATACATATCGTACATGCCTAGCTTGTTACAAATAAAATTCACTTGTGTTCTCCCATGAGGTTTAGTGAGAATATTTACAAGCTGATGGTCTGATGGTATGTACTTGGCTCTAATGATTCTCTTCTCCAACTTCAGAATCAAGTGGCAATCAATCTCTATGTGCTTTGTCCTCTCATGAAACACCGGGTTCTCAGCTATGTAAATGGTGGCCTTTTTATCTCTATACAAGCTCATGGGACACTCCGGAGGATAACCAATCTCTGTTAGTATATCTCTAACCGAGATTAGCTCGCAAGTCAAATTTTTCATGGCTCGATACTCAGACTCAACTGTAGATCGAGAGACTACACTTTGTTTCTTACTCTTTCATGATATAAGATTCCCTCTAAGAAACACACAATACCCAGTAGTTGACCGTCTATCCTCAGAAGATCCTACCCAATCTGCATCTGAGAATTCTACAATTCTCGTGTGACCGCTATCTGAATAGATTACTCCTTTTCCTAGAGTTTTCTTGAGATACCTAAGAATCCTTTTCACAACTTCCATATGAGGTTTCCTAGGTGCCGAGAGAAACTGACTGACTACACTAATAGAATATGCAATATCTGGTCTCCT